ACATCATATATCATATACATATTCACAAATATAAGTCACGAGCATGCGCTCGCTTTTTTTCCCCTCTTCTTTTCTTTCTTTCATTAATCCTATCTTACTCTTTACATTAACTTCATGATGTATAGAAAACTGAATTTAGCATTTGAATCTGTTCATCAAATATATACACTTGTGTGATATGAATTACTCTGTTAAGTGATAATATTGTCTAACCGTATTGTTAAGAGGATGTTAGGTTAAGAGGAGAGGTTAGCTATAATCCAAGGTGAAGGTCGCACGTGTCTAGGTGTTTATTGCAGGCCTATTCGCGGATCAGAGCATAAACGGGACTTGATATGAGATAGGAGCATCACGCATATACCTTCATCATGTTCACAGAGATAAGAAATTATATTATCGTGAATTAATGGGATTCATAGCAATACAGTGCCAAATATTTGTGTGTAAGAAAAAATGATAGGTAGTATAATTTGTTGTAGATTACCGTTGTACTAGCTTTTGTAGCTGTTGCTGCCACTGTACCTTGGATATGCTTTTCGGCCAACCCATGAGGTAAGTACAGTTTTAGAAATATGAAAATCGTATGCGTTACTGATATATTGTAAAAGAGAATTGACTATTCCCCCTAACAGGAGCAGTTTTGCTGCAGTGGGGAGGTTTGAGGTCCCAATGACTGGTAAGCCAGACCATACTGGTGGGGTCACCAGAGAGGGAGAGGACCAAATGGCTCCTAGGTGAACCAATGGTTGTGAGATGCTGCACCCACCCCTGATTCATTCCATCTTTGACCAGGGAGAAATCTTCCACATGTGTTGCCGTGCATGGCGTCCCGTATTGCTGGGAGTCCTGGAAGTTGAGATTAGGTAATTTTGCGCCCTGCAGTTAGCAAAACACATCTTTGTTCTGGTTAGACAGGTGGCTTGATCAAGGCCCTATCAAGCCAATCGCCTGATCAAATATGGCTAGGGTCAAGCAGGCATCACATAGATCCCGCAACTGCCATCAGCACTAGGTGGTGACTACATATATTTCCGCATTACCTCTGTGGCTATTTGGTGTATTTAAGCCCCAACCTATTGCTTCCCCTCATTGGACTCAATGATGGGCGGGGGTGAGGAGATAAACAATTCTAATTTGTATGATTTTTACAAATTTAAAAAGAACTAGCTCTCTAACCGACAACCTAATGCAGCCCTATTGCCAATCCCCCTAGAACGTCACCTTTTGTCACTGTCACCTTTCCAGGTTCCAAAGAGCAAGAATGGGAATCAGAATGCTTCCCAGACTCCAAGACGAGGTATGGAGAAAAGTCCTCCTCAATCCATCAAGAAACCTTTCTTGGTGAATATGAAAGTAATACACAGTGAAGACCATTGATGGAGTGTCCAACAAGGATCTAGATATTTTTTAAGTAAATCATAAGATAGTTGAGGTGTGTCAATTTAATATGGCATGGTACCATCTCAAGGTAAACCATATGTACCCAGTCTTATGTGGTGCTTCCTCTGCCAGGGTTATGTGATGGAGCCAATTCTTGCCATTGTAAGGAAAATGGATTACCAAGAGTGTGTGTCAATTGAGGAGACGTTGGAGCCATCAGATAAGGCTCCAGAGGCCTCATCGGTGACAGCTCCAGCCCCCACCACATTCACAGAGGTCTCCACTGCTAGACAGAATGCCCCTGAACCAAAGGCTCAGGTCTGCCTTTGCCTAAGGGCCTGACAGCTCCAGCCCCCACCACATTCACAGAGGTCTCCACTGCTAGACAGAATGCCCCTGAACCAAAGGCTCAGGTCTGCCTTTAGCCTAGGCAAAGGAATCCTGAGCCCATCCCAAGGGCTCCTCCCAAAGTAGGGTCTTTGGGGCCATCAGTCAAGGCTCCAGAGGCCTCATCGGTGACAGCACCAGCGGCCACCACATCCACACGATCCTCTGCTGCTAAACATAATGTGCCCCTGAACCAATGGCTCAGGTCTGCCTTTAGCCTAGGCAAAGGAATCCTGAGCCCATCCCAAGGGCTCCTCCCAAAGTAGGGTCTTTGGGGCCATCAGTCAAGGCTCCAGAGGCCTCATCGGTGACAGCACCAGCGGCCACCACATCCACACGATCCTCTGCTGCTAAACATAATGCCCCTGAACCAATGGCTCAGGTCTGCCTTTAGCCTAGGCAAAGGAATCCTGAGCCCATCCCAAGGGCTCCTCCCAAAGTAGGGTCTTTCAAGGCCTCAGGTCTGCCTTTAGCCTAGGCAAAGGAATCCTGAGCCCATCCCAAGGGCTCCTCCCAAAGTAGGGTCTTTGGGGCCATCAGTCAAGGCTCCAGAGGCCTCATCGGTGACAGCACCAGTGGCCACCACATCCACACGATCCTCTGCTGCTAAACATAATGTGCCCCTGAACCAAAGGCTCAGGTCTGCCCTTTGTCCAGGCAAAGGAATTCTGTGCCGGTCTAAAGGTAGTCTGTGGAAAATAGGTCCATCGATAAACAACATCCCTCCAAAAGTCACTCCCAAGACACTGGTAAGGGAAAGCCTGAAGAGGTGTGGAACAGGCCTTAACCACAGAGCAAAATTGCATATTTCGCAGAAACTTGATGTCACGCTGTTGTTTTTTGTACAATGTAGGATAAGGCTGATTTACCAAATGAATAAAGCCCTTAAAGGTTAAAGTTAACAGATACAGAAAGCTTGATTTTTTTTTTCTGCATACTATAGAGCCATTAAGAAAAAAGAAGAAAACAGGCGGTTCTGCAAAAGCCTTATTTGGTTTGATTCCGTCCCGAACACAACCATGTTTATATTAGAGTTCACACATACACATTTGCATATTTATGGATATATATACATATATGTATGTATAGATGGATGATAAATTAAATCAAGATTTGGTATTTATCTTACCTTTTTCGAATACCTGGATATTAGCACTTGGCTAGATTATACTCGTACAGAGCTACCTTTAACTTCCTTTTCTCAAGGTTAAAATATACAAATGAGTGGTGATAGAGTCTTTGTTTGGTAAATATTCACTGTAAATATTTTATATGTTTAATTTAGGTGTATGTAGGGTCAGGTTTGTAGACAGGTGCTGGCTTGTAAGCGGGGACGGGCTTGTAGGCAAGGGCGGGCTTGTAGGCAGGAGCAGGCTTGTACTCGGGGTACTGGGCCTCGCCCTCGTAGCTGACCTCGGCCACGTAGCCAGAGTCGCCGTTGCCACTGTAGGCGACCTTCTGCAGACGACCGTCGGGAAGGAGGACGTAATAGGATCCCTGGGTGTCGTATCCATCACGGGCCTCCTGATGACTGAAGTCGTTGCCGGATAAGGATAAGTCCGATATGCGAAGCTGAGCCTCGCCCGGGCTATGGGGGAGCCCGGCCTGTGCCGACTAATGTCGACTCGCTAACAGTGTGTCAGCAGGTGCTGACTCGGATGAGCTGAGTCCTTACCCACCGTGGTGCCCAGCCACAGCAGTAACCTCCAGGCGACAATTGCAACTTCTCACGCCTGGGCGGAGCGCGAACCGCCGACCCCTCGAATGAAACAAGTTGCCGGAGTAGTCGTCCTTCACGACGTAGTTGAAGTCGTACTTAGTCGTACACCGAGTTTTCAATGTATAACAGTTGAGCGTACATCATAGGTTGCTGGAGGACCATATCCATAGGAAGGCTGTGAAGGAGCAGCCAAGGTGGCGGCTACATGGGCGAGAGCGACGACGACCTGAAATGTAAACTCAACAATTAAATATTTTATCTATCAATCTATCTATACATACACAGACATATACATATGTATATGTATATACATATACATATATGTATACATTTTTTTTTTTTTTTTTTTGTATTTTTTGTAACACTGGGAGGTAGAGGTTAGAAAGAAAATATGTATATACAGAGAAGTCTATAACTTCAGTGTGTGTGTGTCGGTGTGTGTGTGCTTGTGTGTATATGTATGTATGTATATATATATATATATATGTATGTATGTGTTGTATATGTGTGTGAAATGAACCATATATGTAATGAGTGAATAGACTAAATCTAAACGTATAGCCATTAAACTCGGCGGTAACGATGGAATGAGTACTGGATAAGTTTAATACATAAGTATACCTGTGTGTACATACACACGGATGCACAATTACAAACTGTAGATATATGTACAAAATATGTATATATATATACTGAAAGTGTGCGTATATGCATACATATATACTATATGTGTGTGTGCACAAGCACTAACACACATACATAGTATATAGATAAATTCACACATACATATGTGTATATATATTATATACATACATATGTATATGCACACATTCATATACATTTAATCATACATATGTATATATACATATATATATACATATATATACAGTATGCA